ACAGGAGGCTGGCGCTGTGAGCATGAGGCCTGGCCTCCCCCTCCTCCCCTCCTCCTGTGAGAGCTAAGCCAGGTGCTCCTAGAAAGCCTCACCAAACAGGAAACCAGGCCAGGCTGGCACTATCAGGAGACGGAGCGCTAGAGGGGTGGCTTCTCACAGCCTGACCTTCACAGAGCTGCAGGTTGAGAGGGAAAGGTAAATGTCAGAGGATTAACAGTTTCATTTATGTCTGAAAACAATGGAAGGCCTTGGGCAGAACAGCCCCAAAGGCAAGCTCTGCAGTCCTTCAAAGCCGTGGTTTTCCGGACAGTCACAGCCACAGCCACAGCTCTGGAGTAGACAGTATGTATCTTAGGAAGCCCAGGCCTCAAGGACCAGGCAGTCAGGGGTCAAGTGCTAAAGTGACCTGAGATTCACAGAAGCACGCACCAGGAATCTCCGGACTCCTGCCTTACTTTGGGGACGCAGGACTGCCAGGTGAGGTGTTGAAGCCATCTCCCTGGGGCCCCAGACATGGCTCTGTTCACAGGTTTCCCTGTGGGGCCAACGACCCTTACAGCACTGGCCACTGTACAGGAGGTGGAAGCCAAAACCATCAGAGTCCTTGCCCTGTGAGCCGCCCATGCACCTGGAGGGGATCCACAGCTGTCTCGCTGCTGGGAGACTCCTAAGGAGCCGCGTGCACACTGAGGTCCATACGCAGCACTGCCCTCGAGACACCCCCCAGTACCCTATGTATTCAAAACATACTTGACACCAAAGCAGAAGTCCTTGTGTCTTTTGCCTCAGTGTTTCCTACAGGGCATAGTGATGCAGATGCTTCACACAATTTGCTTTTCTTAAAATCTAGTTCTCGAAGTCCCACCCTGCTGATGAGCAAATGCTCAGATAAGGGGTGGTGGGGACAGCCCTGCAGTTTGGGTAGTCCGCCCACTATTCCCAGGCCCATCTACTCCTCTCTGAGGTCCCTTCCTGGTTAGCCTATGTCTCTCTTCCCATGGTCCACTTCTGTATTTATTTTGGGTTTAACCTTTAAAATTTTTCCAGTGTGTCACAGGGCCATCCCAAGGGACGTGCATGCCTTGTCCTCAGGCAGTCTGTGTTATAATTTTAAAACCTTTGGTTTATGTCCAGGTAAGCCGTACAACAGCCCTATTAGAAATCCGAGAGAACTGCTGTTAACCCTGGACAAATGAGGCCTCTGAAGAGGAATCAGGTAACCAGGACTTTCTCTCTCAGTCCTACTTACCTACAGAAGCTTCTGGCCGCACACTGTGACTCTGCCTGAAGTAGAGGGTGCATGGTGTTGTGTTTTGAGAATGTGGTAAGGACAGTATACTTTACCAACTTTCTCTCTGCCCCATCACAAGACAGAAAGCAAAACATGAGCTCAAACCTAAGAAGCGCAAGTGTGTGAATGTGAGGTGACAGAACAGCTGTGTGCTCTCTTCAGTGTATAAGCTTTTTGAAAGCAACAGATGAAAGCTTCCTCTCCTAATTAATACATTTCAAATACCAATGACCTTGAAAGTAAACTGGATGATCACTTTTAAAAACGTTAACGATCTTCTTAGCAATCCAACGTCTGCTGCACAAGGTCGTTCTTTCATCTCTAAACATTAAGTCAGTACTGAGGCTTTCAGTCCTATTACCTTATCCAGTAATTTCTAAAAAACGGGATCTGACGGCAAATAAGTATCCTTACTTTAGAGATGGGAAATCTGAACGGGTACCAGACCACAGCTGAAGCCGGGGCAGAGCTAGAAATGTGACTCAACTTCTTTTCAATGACACTTTGTCTCCTGGTCTTCCTTCCTGTGGATCCCAGTGGGCAGACTGGACACTGCACCCGTACATTTCACAAGGGCTCCCCTAGCTAGATGCAGCATCCCTGCTGAAGTGAGGTCTCCTGGTGGATGAGATGCTTCCAACATGCAGCTCTTGGTGGCTCTTCCGGGAGCCCAGGCAGAGAGAAGCAGCAGTGGTGTGACCTCGGCTCCAGGACCTGGCCTCTCCAGCAAGCTCGTTCTGAGTCCTTCTATGTAAAACAGACTTGGTGTCACAGGCCCAATTCTCCCAAAACCTCAGTCAGAGAGTAATACCTTTGCTCCAACATTGCATCACCATGAAAACAAAACGCTGCAGTCTACTTGAGATCATTTTTGCTCTGATTAAAATTTTTATTGAAATCTCTCAAAGGTCGTCAAGAAATAGTTTTTGCGAAAGGGGGGAAAGATAGCTAACAAATTCAACATGGGAGCTCCCTCTGCTGGTCTGCAGTAGGTTGGTATGTTACAAACACATTCCCAGAGACAAATCTAATTTGCTGGAGAAGTGGACAAAAGACAGGTGTGTTGGGCTTTGCCTCAGGAGAGAAACACTAGAAGAAAAAAAAAATCCATGTCTCAAAATAGAGCATAACATTGCTAAGAAAAACAAACTTATTTAAAGCCTCTCCAAAGACATTATAAGATTTCCAAAACAAAAACTGAATTATCCAATATGGGGAGATGCCCCGTAAAGGCTCCAGTCTGCTCTACCTCCAGTTAATAAAGATTCTCTTGGGCCCTTTGGGTGAAGGTTAAGTGCTGATTCCCTTTGCTTTGCCTCCAAGTCTCTTCTTACAGGCTTCCCATCTACTTAGAGAAGAAAGATCCAAGGAGTCACTGGAGTGAGGCCTTTCCAAAATTCCATTAAAGAATAAGTCTGTGGTGAGCCAGCACCTCGGAGTGGAAAGAGCCAGGCCTGGGAGGCAGGTGACCTGGGTCTAGTCATGGTAGAGCCACTTCAGATTGTGGGTAGCTCCCTCCATCTTCTCAGGCCTGTTTCCTCATCTGTCAAATGGGTCAGACCAGCTGATCTGTAGAGCCTCTACTAGCTCATTCTGATTCTCATACTGCACAAATAAATTTAAATAACGGAATTTGTTCACAGAGTCCATGCCTGCACTGGGAATGACTCCAAACAAGAAGTGGCGTTGAAAACTGGTATCAGATGAGAGTCCCACCAAATCTGGGACCGATGTGGCAGAGCTAAGTGGATTCCAGTTTGGGAAAGTCTCAAGATCAAGAACTCCCAGGGGAGGGTGCCACCATGGGCAATGCATCCCATTAAGTCAAATGGCTGAGTCCATCTAATCTTGGCACTGTCTCTCCCCATCCTTCCTTACAATGGCATATGCTTTCTAATCTCTTGAGACTCTTTAGGCCCTTCCCTTACCATACCGTATCTCCAGAATTACTTCTGATTTTACCCATTACATGAATGAAGAATGGGCAGATGTCATATCCAAAAGCCACCATTCCCAGTACTTTCTGGCCATTGTCAACTCTTGATATGGCTATTCAGAAGACTATGCAAACCACTGTTTCATGGTATTTATTAACATTTGCCTTAACTGCCACGTGATCTGTACCCGGCAGTCTAGCAAGAGGAGACACCATCCAGAGCAGGGGTGGGAGGTGGCAAGCAAAAGGGGCTCTTAGTTGCCCCATTTCATCCACACATTTATCTGCAGCCTGCTACAAAGATCCTAATGACTCAGCAGAGAAACCCACAGGTTGACATTTTATCCCCTCACCCCGTTACCTGCCAGTTGTGAGGGTTCTCAAGCACTGACATGGAAAAAGGAAGAAAAAGCAGCAGGGGAAGGAGAAGCCAAAGGCACAAGTAATCCTGGCTCCTTTATTTTCTGTGCCATGTACTCTCACCACCACCACCACCTACATTTTTTTCTTCACTACTTGTACTACTTTCTCCCTTCTTCTCCCAACACAGAGGGCAATCATTACTGGGGCTCAGGCACCAAAGGCAGCCCAGGAAGCCGGGTCGTCAATGCACGCACAATGTGTTGGTAACTCAGCGAAAAGAATTAAAAGATGTTCAGCCAACAACAATCTTGACCCCATGACTTTCAAGAACCCTCACTGAGGGCTGCTTCTAGGTGGTCTTTATCAAGACAGTGAATTCTGTACAACATAAAAGAGTTTTAAGTCAGAAGGAAGTTTTCTGGGAAGCTGTTTATTTCATCCAGCCTTGTAAACAAACACTGAGCAAAACAAGCAAATGAAAACTCCGCCTGTCCAGCCTAATAATTTTTGAAAATTTAAAATTTAAAGGCTGAATTACACATGCAGAAAGATAAATGAAACCTACATACGTACTTTCTATTTGTTACTGGTCATCAATCTTTGCAGGCCAAAGAATGAGTGATCTCCAAAGGTGAATCTTTACACTGATTACTACCACTTGCGCTAAAAGCAAAGCTAAGAGAGTATTTTCTCCAAGGGCAGAGGAAGTGTTAGTATGTAGATAGTAACCTTTGTGGAGAAACAGGAAGTTTGTTTATAAAAATCAGGCTATTGTTAACTAAGAAAGCAAGCTGGTCAGAATAGAGATCTCTACCTTGACCTGTAATTCCATCTTAGACACTATCTTGTACCTCCTGTTCTACAGGGTTTCCTGAAAATGGAGAAAAGGAACCCTTAATCTTTCCTGTAACATATTTAAGAAAGTATAGCCTTCCCCCATGGAAGCTTTCCCTTTGGTCAGAGATTCTTCTCACAGTACACGAGAGTGGAAAACTCTCAACACACAGAAACACGCACAGACGCACATATCCCCTGCTCCTAGCACACACCTTCCTCTGTAGCCCTTCCACACAAGGCACACACGTGTACGCTCCGGTGATGCCCTCTAGCTAGCTGGGAGCCAAGTGGATAAACTTGCCCCAGTCTCTTATGTGCGATATGAGGTGAGATCATTAAGGAAGAGAGAGGTGTCATTTGGGGCAAACATCAGGCAGTGGGTGATATCATTGCTGTCAGACGATCCTCGTAAGTCCTGAAGGAGTGTCAGCTTGATTTAGAGGGGATCATTAATCTCTTGAAGGTGGATCTGTTAGCTGGATAGGTGTTAGTTGTATGGTGTGCTCTGGGGAACCAAGTTTGAAAGGACTGGAGGTGGAGTGAGTGAAGTCGTGGCCGATGGGTATCAATTACCTGGGCATGCAGTGAAGCGGGATAGGTGAAAGCAGGAGGAGGTAGAGCAGGCGCTAACTCCGCTGGGTACAGAGGGTACGGGGCCCACACTTCAGGGCTACTGGGGTAAAGTGCAGGCACTGTGAGCTCATCTGCAAGAAAAGAATAAGGCGAGAGTTAGTGGTTACCAAACAGCTAGTTTCATATCAGAAAACAAAACACCCAAAAACCCCGAGCCCCAATCAATGTCAGAAGCCAAATGACTCTCATTCTTTTCACAACCTGTTGTTTGTTGGCTTTGGTCCCATAAGTGCTAAGCAAGGAACGAAAAATATAACAAGAAAAGCAACAAGCATCTGCTGTCTGTCTGGCCTGCTGAGATCTCAGGCCTGGACTCCGCCTTGAACACTCTGATGTCTTTCCAACTGTAGCTGGGGAACCCAAAACAGTGGGAATTTCCTGCACAAAACAGAAAATGTGGCCCTCTGAGGAAAAGGGAGAGAAAGAACCAATGAAAGATATCCCATGAGAACCCACTGCAGAGCCTTTGGGAAAACAATGGCTTAACGGCAGGGCCTCAACAGACCAGAACTGGAAGGCTTTTCTGTTTATTGGCATAATTATTATTGACAAGTCAGTCATGATCATCAAGCATTTTCCATGTAGCCCCCAGAAGTACAGGGCCAAATACTGTGACCACAGGGCATTTAAGATCTTAAAAATTCAGAGAATTGAGGTGAAAAACCTTGAGAATCCTGATTAAAATTACACTCCACAAAGATGTAAACATTTCCAGTTGCTCTTTACAGACTAACTTTTAGGGGGAAAAAGTGAGTCATATTGCCAAGCGCCTGGTCTAAGTGTTCCTCAGGCAGCTCCAATTCCACCCAGGTCAGGCTGCAGTTGGCCAGATTGAAGGGCAAGTGCCTGGGCCTCCTATGTATCAGGAAGCAATCCATTAAAAGTAACAGCAAACACATGAGGAAGCTTCTCAGGAAAGGCAAAAATAACATCAGTCAATAGCAAGGAATCTGGGCCCTGTGAAGCAGCAATCTCAAGATGTGCTTTTATCACCTGTCAAAATCTGAAATCAAGTATGCCAAGGACGCTATCCAGGACTGCCACGGGAGTCAGCAAAAGGTGATTTGATAGTCATTAGTAACTCTGCCATTCAGGACTTTCCCTAAGTCTACAGTGCATGTGACCCAAGGTCAACAGAGTCACTTTATTCCTTCCCACCATCTAAGGAGCCATTCCAGGCCCAGTGTCTCTGCATCCTTCCCATCCCCCAAAACTTTTCAATACGGAAAGGGGACTAGCAACAGAAAACTGCTTTGCTCGGTGTGATGTGGGACTGCTCTACGGAGAAACCAGAAAGTAGCAGAGCCTGTGGGTGAATGTGGATCTGGTGGGCAGGGGGTAGGTGAGGCTTCCCCACAGCCAGCTTGCATGGCACGAGCTTCTCTCAGGATGGTAGGGAGTCAAGAGCTGACTGCTAATGATACGTTCAGAGGGCAGTTTGTACCCATTTCCAGATGTGATGGGACCCCAACAATGTGATTTAACATACTGTTGCTGGTTAGCCTTCTCGACTCCCTCCTCTCAACAAGGCAGTAAAAGCTACCTCCTCAGGACTTGGTGATGGAAAGACAGACTGCCTGTGTATCTAGGTGGGAGAAATAAGCCCCTAAGAGTGGACTGATCATTATTATTTAGTCAGGGTAACAACAACATCACTACAGTCCTTAAAATGATCAGGTCTACAGCATCTACTGTGTTCTAGGGTGTGTAGGTGCCTGTAGCCCAAGGCTTAGGGACCACCCTGAGAAGGGCTGGGAGGAGCTTAATAGATCCCTGTGCTTCCTGTTGTGATGAGACTGTGATTTCCAGAGTAACTAATGTGGGAGCCCAGCTAGTGGAAACTAACTGCTACCAGAACCGATGCCTTGAATTTTAAACAAACAACCATTCTCAGGAATGCCAAGCTATTATTGTTGTTTAGCCACCAGGCTATTTTAAGACATTCTGAGTCTTTTAAATCCTCATACACTCATCTGTGGCCTATGCTTGTCTGTTCCCACTGTGACAGCGGAAGACTATAAAGCTATAAAGACTATAAAACTGATACATACAACTGATTCCAAATGACAGAGCCCTCAGGGGGAATGTGTTTGGCCTGCAGCCTGTCAGTGGTCCTTCCTTATCGTCCTGGCTAACTGGGGTGGGGTGGGTAGAGGTGGTTACCTGATCAGTGGGTTCTTCCTTTAGAAACTTAAAAAAAATGAAATGAATATGTCCTTTAAGATATCGGATCCTAAAGAGATAAGCAACAGAGATAAGCTGGAATCAGATTTCAATGTCAGCCTGACTGCTGGAATTTATGATTTCCAGACCTTTCTCTATTTTTATCCTGAAGCATTACTTCCCATTAGTTCTTTACTGATGCTTAGAGACAATTCACCATTAACATTTGCACAAAACCTAGGCCAGCAGAAAAGAGGATTTGCTCTGAAATCCCCTAAACTCAAAATTGCTGAGTAATAGTAAAGTAGTGGTAAGGCAGAAGTCTAAAAGAGATTAAGGTGAACTTACACTTGATAAATCCCTTGATACATCTTATCATCCGTCTCCCTTCTCCCCTCATGAAGGAATGTGGAGTTACCATAAACATCAAAAGATACATGGCCTGACCAGGTCAGGATTGCACCTGAAGCAGGCCTCACAAACACCTAACTTTTCAGTAGAAGCCTGAGCACTCTCCTAACACACACATACACTCCCCTTTGATGGAAGTGGGTATTAAAGCAGAATGAGCTTTCTGCATTTGTTTGCTTTTTCGTTGCTTGAGAAAATTACAAAAGCTAGAGAGACCGGTTTTCCACAGCGCAAGCCCTTCACAAGGACTCCCCACTGAAGCAGGAGGCAAGGCCCTGATGGGTTTCACCTTCCTGAGTCACTGCCCATCATCCTGCTCAAACTTTATAGGATGGAAGGCTGAAAAAAGAAGACAAAGATTGCTGCCCAAGGCCCACTGGGATGAATTGGAGTTTAGGGAGGGGGTGAGATTCCTCTTGACAAAAGAGGCTCTTGACCACCCAGAGTGAGCCAGGCCCCAGTGAGCAGAAAGAGGGCAGATCAAGAGGCCAGGGCTTTTTTGTCTGGGCCTAATCCGTCCCTCCTGAGAGGCTGGGCAAATCCTTTCCCATTGCCCCAATCTGGCTACATCTTTTCTTTTTTGCACCTTCTGAGGATAATGTTGTTGAGGGTTCACAATATACATCTGAATAGGCTTTTTTTCTTAGCATGAGAATATGCAACCAGAAGAGCTCAAATTGGATTCTGAAAAACAAGGACTAGAAACTTCCAACTCTACCCTGTAATCCCTCTGAAACCAAAGAACTGCAGAGCTTCTGATGAAGGTTTAAACCTACAGAGCTTGGGAAGATCATCTTCTGCCTTTTCGTTTTAGATGAGGAAACAGATGCAGAAAGGTGCAGCTTCCAGTCTACGGTCACATTGAAAGAGAGATAAACGTGAATGACTCTTAGAAACAACTGAGAGACGGAAGAACAAGGAGAATCTTTAATGGACTTAAGTATGGCCATATATCTCTGAGTTTAGTTGGTAACACAAGGTTTAAGAACTTTTTTGAGGCCGGGCGCGGTGGCTCATGCCTGTAATCCCAGCACTTTGGGAGGCCGAGGCGGGCAGATCACAAGGTCAGGAGATCGAGACCATCCTGACCCATCTCTACCAAAAATACAAAAAATTAGCCAGGTGTGGTGGCAGGCACCTGTAGTCCCAGCTGCTCAGGGGGCTGAGGCAGGAGAATCTCTTGAACCCGGGAGGTGGAGCTTGCAGTGAGCCAAGATTGCGCCACTGCACTCCAGCCTGGGCAACACAGTGAGACTCCATCTCAAAAAAAAAAAAAAAGAACTTTTTTGCCTCTTGAAAACATCTATTTGGAAATATTCCACAGCAACTTCATGCTCGACATACCCAAAACTAAACATGCTCCCTCAATGACCTGTCCTCGTTGGCTCCAGATTTCAGTAAGATGCTACCTTCCACTCAGCTGCCCAAGCCACAGACCTGGTGGTCACTCTATTCTCCCTCTCATTCATTCTTTCATCAAGGTCCTGCTGAATCTATCCCATGATCCAGCTTGATCTTCACCAACACTACTGGATTACTGAAAAGGCCTCCTAAAAGCCCTCCTGGCTTCCACACTCAAGTCATGACAACTTTAAAAATACACATTTTGGCTGCATGCAGTGGCTCACACCTGTAATCCCAGTGCTTTGGGAGGCAGAGGCAGGAGGAGGAAGATCAATTGGGCCCAGGATTTGAGACAAGCCTGGGCAACTTTAGCGAGACCCCGTATCTTAAAAAAAACAAAGTATTAGCCAGGCTTGGTGGTACATACCTTTAGTTCCAACTACTCGGGAGGCTAAGGTGGGAAGTTCACTCGAACCTAGGACTTATTTGAGGTTGCAGTGAACTGTGACTGTGCCACTGCACTTCCAGCCCAGGACAACACAGTAAGACCCTGTCTCTTAATTTAGTCATGCCACTTAAAACCCTTCTGTGATTTCCTCTTGCTCTGTGGATACTGCCTGAACTCCATGTAATGGCCTATAAGATCCCAAATGATCTGGCCCTCATCCTCCTCCCCAGCCCTGATTCTCATCTGGTTCTCCCTCATGCTCTGGGATCAGTCACTTCCATTGCATGACTATGCCTGCCTCTCTCCCACACACTGCTCCCTCTGCCAGGGGCACTTTTCTCCCCCTCCTCCTGCCTGGCTTAACTCTTACTCATCAGTTACTTACTCCTTCCACCCAGCTTAACTCTTCACTGTGCTCTACTTAGACGCCGCTTCCGGGGATGGGGAGGGGCCTGGCCTCGCACTTCTAGTCTAAAAGACTGCTTTCTCTGTGCTCCACCATATCCTGCACCTCCCCAGTCACAGCAGTTACCTCCTGGACGGCAAGCTCTTATTCTTGCTTACCAATGCCTACCACCATATTATAAGACAGTATCAAGAAATCAACCATTTGGGCCAGATGCAGTGGTTTACGCCTGTAATCTCAGCACTTTGGGAGGTGGAGGTGGGTGGATCACTTGATGTCTGGAGTTCGAGACCAGTTTG